TAATTTACATAAAAGAGATCACAAAATACAAAATCGACCAGAGCATTCGTAATTAACAACTTATTACATGCCAACGCTCTATACACAACCCAAAATACCTACTTTGCCAATTACTTCTGATATGATCTTTTAGTAGTGATGCTATTCTTGCCACTTCTAGTACTACTCTTCTTGTTTCCTAGTACCTACGTGTAAGTCACTTACACGCTAAGTCATAGACTTAGTGAGGCAATAAATAAACATGTAGCTATATATTCATGAATATGCGTTCTTACCATTTGATCATGACATTTCAATATGCATATATATATTTCACTATAACTGATATAATCATGTCATGTACATATGAAACTTATTTTCTTGTATCACTTTCACCTTTCTTTATCTTTCAATTGCCCATGTACATTATTGAGAACAGAGGTATTTGAGTACATTGAGGTTGTGCACTAATGATGTCACCACAGCTCAATAAATTCCCTCATGGGGCACCGAACATTTGTTCAGTATTTGTCCTGAAAGACCACTAGACACATCCCGAAGAACCACTGGATATGTCCCGAAGGACCACTGGATACGTCCCTAAGGACCACTGGATACGTCCCGAAGGACCACTGGATACGTCCCGAAGGACCACTGGATACGTCCCGAAGGACCACTGGATACGTCCTGAATGACTAATATACCCTCGACTCTTGGCATGCCAACTATACCTATAGCTATCGTATCATATAACATGGGCTTTAATATGAATACATTTCTCATTTCATATCTCTTTCATCACTTTTCATACAAACCCATAATCTTTTCCATTATTTCACATACATGGATTATATTCTCTGACAATGATATTCATTCATTCAATGTTATATGAATATATAATGAATTATGCATGCAATCACTATTATAATAGTATCTGTATGCATATACATGGGTATGGAATCATTAATTCAACTATCAGAGATAGACTTATCACAAGTCTTGTCTCTATACACTTTAAGTATAAAATGCACTCACCTTAGCCTTGCTTTGATTCGATTCTAATCCTTTGATTTTTCTGGAATAAGATTACACTCTAAATCTACATAGTAATACATTGATATTTATCAGCATACGAATTGATATATTTCAAACTATTAATCCTTAGGCTAAAAGAAAGTTATTTCCATCTTTTATTGAAGGTATGCATCGATGCACTACACCATGTATCAATGCATCCCTTGACGGGTGCATCGATGCACTACCCATGTATCGGTGCATAAATCCTATTCGATGTTTTTATTTTAAGCAGGTGCATCGATGCACTCCTTATGCATCGATGCATTAATGACATTCGATGTTCATTTAATTTATATGAGTGCATCGATACACTCCATGTGCATCGATGCACCTTTAATAAATTCTGGGATTTTCTCTTGATGCATCGGTACACTTTGAATGTACACCGATGCACTCTGCTCAGAATTCATTTCTTGAACCTGAATACTTATCTATTTCAGCTTAAATCTTTCATGTTTCATCCCCTTTTATATTCTTAACTCCAATACACATACTTAAACCAATCTATACTCATTTATTTCATTTTAAACCTCATAATCCTATCATTCTTGTGAAATCCAAGAATTATACCAACTTTGCAACATGATTTAATTCCACTTCTAACCCTTAATATGTCTTAACTAGATTGATGACAAGTTAAATTTAACTTCCAATTCTATATATGAACTCTATTCTAAAATTTCATTCAAGAACCTCTAATCTTTAATCTCTTCTAACTCCATCATCCTTTGATTTTAAGATAACCTAAGCTTTCCTAAAGCTTAGTTATCATCTAATAATCAAAACCCAATCTTAAATTTAACAAGAAACTCAATAATCAGAAAACTCACCTTTATTTTGCTTTACACGTACAAGGAAGAAAGAAGATGAAAAGAACTCTGGAAGCCTTTGTGTTCTCCCCTCTTCAACCCACGTGGATACATATATAACCCTTCTTTTCTTATTCCCTTAGAAATGACCTCTTTGTCTTTCTATTTATTCTTCCTTTCAATTCAAATCCATACAATAATTTACAAATAAATCTTTATACTATTCAATCATTATATTTTAATCACCAAATTATGAGACTTTATAATTTAGTCACTAACCCGGTATTGAGGATGTTACAACGCCAATTTTTATTGAAGCCAGGGTTTTGTGGTACGCTAGGTGATGCATCGTTATTTATTCGTTGAGTTGGTGGAGCTCGTACGTTGGTCTTGGTATATGTAGATGATATTATTATCACAGGTGAGTTTAATGATGCTATTGATGAGGTTCTTTGGCTTCTTGGTAAGAAGTTTTCTTTGAAAGACTTGGGTGAGCTTGGCTACTTTCTTGGTATTGAAGTTAATAGGTCACCTGAATAGTTGGTGTTAAGTCAACGTAAGTTTGTTCAATTGCTGGAGTAGACAAGTATGCTTAATGATAAGTCTGCACCCACGCCAATAGTGGTTTCACCAAAGTTGACTTGTGATGCTGGGAAACCACTTACAAATACATTGATGTATCAAAGCATTGTTAGGTCTTTGTTGTATTTGAGCCATACAAGACCAGATATAACCTTTAGTGTTAATCGAGTGGCTCAGTATATGGATCTTCCTTGTGATGGTCATTGGATTACTGTTAAGAAAATATTGCACTATTTGAGTGGGACAATTGATAATGGCTTGGTGTTTAGGCTATCATATACATATGAAGCTTGTTATGTGACTGCATTTGCTGATGCTGATTATGCCAGTAATGTCGATGATCGTAGGTCAATGTTTGGGTTGTATGTGTTTCTTGGATGTAATATGGTTTCATGGAGTGCTAAAAGGCAGAAGACGGTGGCTCGGTCAACAATGGAGGTTGAGTATCGTAGTATTACTGATACAGTGTCTGAAGTAGTTTGGGTTCATTCTTTGTTTTCTGATATGGGTGAATTAGTTGCTATAATTCTAGTTGTATGGAGTGTCAACAAAAGTGTCATTGCCATGAGTGCTAATCCAGTATTTCATGCTTGTTCGAAAAATATAGAATTGTATATACATTTTGTACGTGAGAAAGTAGGTTATGGAGCTGTTCAAGTTAACTATGTTCCTGCAAAGCATCAAGTAGTTGATGGTTTGACTAAACCCTTGGCAAAGTATGCACATGTTTTGTTTCGTCATAAAGTTCAAATAGTATAGAAGGAGACAGTTGAAAAGGACGGGGAGAATGTTGAAGCATAGCTACGTGCATGGTCAGCAATGGCAGTTGTTATTTGTGTATGCTTGTTATGCAAGTTAGTTAATAGTTGGTTAAGGTTGGTTAGGGCTGTTAGAAGTTTGTTATGAGTTTGTTAAAGCAACTATGCAAGTCTTTCTTGTATAAATGCACTGGTGTAGTTATTTGATAATATACAAGTTTAATATCTTCTTGATATCTTCTGTAACACCCTAACCTGTACTCGACCCGAATATGAGTCTGAGATGTCACATTGACTTTTTAAAACAATATTCTTACAAAATAATAAAACATTTGAACTCATATTAAGAAAATACAATAATATACTATTAAATTATGTTCGTTATAAATTTTTAAGACAAAAACGTATTTATGAACAGTAAAATATGGTATGAACAATGCACAATAATGAACAGTACCGTGAATAGTACCGAATGCTACAATTTTTCCAGAATGCCAGAGAGGTACCGATACCCTGCTACAGTACTGCTACAGTACTACTGCAGTGATGCTACAGTAACTTTCGGCAAAATATATTGTCGAAACGATTTTTAAACGGGAGCGGGGGCGAGATTTTGGAAACCGCGTCATTTTTTAATTATTCTCTTTTCAATTGAATTTTAATTAAAAACGATGCAATTTTAGAAAACCTCTCGTTTCAAAAAATTGGAAATTCCGTTATGGTAAAATAATAAGGTTCGAGGAGTCGCCACCAATCTTTGATTAGGGTGTGATTGGGCACCCAAAAACATTTTGTCATTTTAAATAAAAATTAATTTTAATTAAAACGACAAGTAGAGGTCTGCGTTATCAAAATCTAAGTTCGGGAGTCGATTAGGTGTGGGGAAGGATTAGCACCCCCACAACGCCCTAAATTGGTACCTAGTCGATTAATTATTGTCTTTGCAACGAATTCCACAAGTTTGAGTTTAATTTGATTAATGATCCCTTAAAACCATAATAAATGCAAATTTTATAACATTCAAAAAGCAACAAAATAGGTTAAATTAAAATTACCAAGCCATTAGAAAGATAAAGAATATTCGATTATTTACAAATATTGAGACCAGATCTTTAGGTGAGTTCTAACGATCTTTTCTCAAATAATTTAAATAACCGAATATTTCTTTTTCTTTCATTCCCAAATTTTAAAGTGATTAATCCAAATTTAATTAGGCGTTACTGGTGGGATATACTTTTAATTTAAAATCGTCAAAGCGGATATCTAATCGGTTAAGACAACCACTTAAAACAATTTTAAATTAAAAAGATATTACCCTTAATTAAATTATGTAAATACATCGAGTTATGCACACGAGGTTAACATACGATATTAAAAATTATCTAATTAATAAATAATATATGAAAAACTAACATGCACTAACATTACTTAACATATTAATATGTAACATACTAATGGGACTTAAATATGAAAAAATAAAAACATAACATACCAAACTATACATGTTACACTAACAACCAAATCACATTAAACCGAATTTTAATATCCAAAATATAAACAAAATAATCATTGAAATGAACATACGAGTAGTACACATAGTAAACAATGAAACCAGAATAAAACAAATCATCACCATAATGGACTAAAATTATAATAAACCCTAAACATACATAGGACTAAAAAGAAACATGCAAAACATTCAAAGTCAAAAGTCTAAGAAAACAGAAACTAAGTATATTACCACTCAGGACTAGAATGCAACATGCAGAACACGAGGGTCAAATGTTTAAAACAGTAAAGATTCAACTACAACACTACTTAGGACTAAAATTAAATGCGGGTAAAATAAAGAGACAAAATTATAAACATGCAAACAATGATTTATGGACCAAGATGCAACATCCGAAAATTAGGATACAATATTAAAAACACAATAAAACTTGATTATGCCTGACTTGGGGACCGAAATGGAATGCGCGCAGAAAACAGAGTCAGAATTAGAAACTAGGAAAGCATCAGCTGAAACGACGACGTTTTGACTAAAACCTAAATAATATCTAACCTAAAACAGATCAAAACTCTGCTAAGCCTAATTTCTTCCCCCCTGCGCCGTTCTTTCTCAACTCTCCAAACTCTCATCCTCTCATCTTCCTCTTCGAAAGCAACTGAGAAATTCAGAACAACCAAAGCCTTAACTCTTCACTCTTAGAAAACCAAAGACCTAAATACCTCAACCACGAAACCCACTGCTAACCACCATAGCCAACAAACTCTGATGAGGAGTTAAACCTATACCCAAACCCCCGACAACCAACCTTACCCCGAAAACGAAAGCTAAAGGCTAAGGAACTAAGGAGTTACCTTATATCTGAGGATGATTTGACTCCGATGAATGGCGATGATACTCTCGGTTCCGGAAAGGTAAGGGTTCTCTGACTTTTGGGTCTTCTAGTTGCTAATTTTTGTTCGAAACTATTTCTATTTTTGCTGAGGGTTGCTTTCTGATCTTCGTTTGGATGGCATTTCACTAGTTTTTAGAGCTCTTCATTTTTTAGAATGATTGTAAAAAAAACGAAAAAAAAGACTTATGAAGAAATCGGGAAAACAAACTTTAAAAATGATTTCTAGCCTTTCATTCCTCTGTAAAAATCATGGAAGGATCCCCCGTTCACATTGCTTTCGAATACGGGGGGAATCCTTCTCCAGTTACACTACTTTTCCTTCAAGGACCCCCTTTGTTGTTACTGAAAATCCCCCTCGAATCCTTGTTGGTTTTTTTTTCGTTCTGTCCTCCTCCCTGTTTGTTGATGAGTTCCCCTTTTTTATTTCCCTTCTGTTCTGTAGAAAAGCCGAACCTCTCACTGTTGTTTTTTTGCTTCCATCCTCCCCGTGAACCTCCCTGATGTGTTTACTCGTGTTTTCTTTTATTGATGCCTGTGTTTTTGCTTTCCAAGGTGCCTCGGTTTTCTCTGCCTTGTTTGTGATGTTGCAGGGCATGGGCACGGGCGTGTTGCTCGATTCTGGTGTGCACATGGCGTGGGAGACAGTCCTGGTCAGCAGGGTATGGGTCTTGCTCGGGAACCTGGACACTTCACGTGGATGCTGGTTGTGCGGTTCATGTGGGAGACGTGAGGGACCGTGGCAGTGATGCATCATGTGGGAGAGATCCCTGTATGCTCGGGCATCTCGTGTGGGGCACAGATAACCCGGGTCGGGTTATAACCGGGTCAGATATGGGTCTAATGGGTTTCGGGTTGGGTTGTTTGTAATTAAGCCCGGTTTGGGATTGTTTTGTAAATGGACCTTAGACACTTACATTTGGATTTTGGATTATACTTAGGCTTCGAGCTATATCTTGAATTCCAACGTGTACAATTCCAATTCAATTAAACACCTCAAGCTTCCACGATCCATCACTTAAATTAGTTCCTCATCGGTCACAAATTCATTCAAATTAAATCTCGTTAATCTTCAAATGAATTTAAATGACCCGGACAAAATTAGGGTATTACAGCTGCCCCTCTTTGCTCGTTGGTGTGAACACAAGAACGTGGCAAAGACAAAAATAATGACCTAATTTTGTCTGATTGCAACGTCATTTCCCTTCTCCAGTCTTCTTCTTGACTTTTGTCTTCATCTCATGAGCACAAACCCTTTTAATTGATTGTTCCGCTTCTTCGTACCCGAGAATCTTTAGTTTCCGTCTACATCTGATGATCTGATGGTTTGCTCCACTTTCTTCTGAAAGCTTAAAATGGCTCGGACGACTCATATTGTACTTGGGCGTTTTTGTCCAATTCCATCTTCTTGCTTCAAAATTTGATAAGAGATCTCCTTCACTCCTCCTTCGGGGTAAGTGAGACTTGAAAATCTTTGGAAAAAAACGTCTGCTCCCTATTCTTTCAGAGAGTATAGGACTCGATTAATCTTCAATCAGCGTACTTGCTCCTTATTCTTTTCAGGGAGTATAGAATTCAATAAATCTTCAGAAAAATGGGTTCGTTCCCTATTTCTTCAGAGGGTATAAGACTTGAATCATCTTCAACAAACTTGTCTGCCCCCTATTTCTTCAGAGAGTATAAGACTCGAACAATCTTCAACGATTGCGTCTGCCCCCTATTTCTTCAGAGAGTATGAGACTCGCATATTCCCTTTTTCTTTAAGGAGTATAGAACTCGAATAATCTTTTGGAAACGGGTTTGCTCCTTCTTTCTTTAAGGAGTATAGAACTCGCATATCTTCACACGGGTTCGCTCCTTCTTTCTCTAGGGAGTATGGAACTCGGACATCTTCAAACGGGTTCGCTCCCTCTCTCTCTAGGGAGTATGGAACTCAAATAATCTTCATTTGCTTCACCACTTTATTGTGAAGGCTTGAGTTTGATTTGCTTCAAAGGTCGAACCTGAAAATCAAACATTATCAATCATTAATGTATGCTTGAAGATTCGAAAAACATTATACTCAAAAATTTAGAATTTAAGAGAATCTTTTCGAAATCATTTCTCTTGTGAGAGCTTGTCTCACCGCAATTGAATACGAGAGTCTTCCTTGACTTGACTGCCATTTGAACCTCTCCTTTTCAGAGACCTTGAATCGGTTAATGACTCCTCGCGCGCGTTTCCTTTTAATCACTTGATCAGCTTCTTTGTACTCGAAAACTTTTTCTTTTTCTCCTACATCTGATGGTCGGATGGTTTGTTCTAACACTCTTCTAAGAAGGCTTAAAATGGATCTGCTTCACTACTTTTTGGTGAAGACTTAAGATGGTTTGCTTCACTACTCTCTGGTGAAGACTTATGATGGTTTGCTTCACTATTCTCCGGTGAAGGCTTCAGATTGATTGCTTCACTATTCTCCGGTGAAGGCTTCAGATGGTTTGCTTCACTATTCTCCAGTGAAGGCTTAGGATTGACTTTTCTCCAATCTCATGTGTACAAGTCTTTCTTCATACACGAAAATCTTCGTTTTTCTTCTACATCTGATGGTCTTCACTTCAAAGCAATGCTTCTTCTGTGGATTAGACCTCTCTGTTCTTCAGGGTATGCCTTTTTAAATGTAACTCTTTGTATTTGAGGTTTGAAATCTCCCTTTCAATCATCGGGATTTCAACATTCTGCATCTTCTCTCTTCAATGGAAGACCTGTCAAAATCATGTGTTTATGCATAAATCACTAATGCAATTAAATGTATCTGTGTCATGCATTTTCTTTTATGCAGATGATGTTCTCATGAATGCATAAATGTTGAATCAATCTTTGTTTGCCTTCAAATTGGCGAACTCAGTCTTCTTCTACTTGATCATTCTTTCCAGGGTCTGTTTTCTATACTCGTGTAGCAACTCATAGTTTCCAACTTGCATTTTTTACGAGCCCTTTGATATTCTTCTATCTTCTTGTCATCTTTGTTTTCTTTCTTCACTTCGGAGAAAGTGTTTTCTCTCTCAATATCTTGCTATAGTCAGAAATACGACTGTGTTGCCCCATTTCCGTCCTCAGCTCAACTATGCTTTCAGAGTTGTTCTTTCAGGACTCTGCCATTGATCGATGCAGTTGATTTGCTTTACAAGGTAAGCTCAGCTCAAATTCCCGGTCTGCCCCTGACACTTTAAGTTGTGAGACTCATTCTCAATAATTTCTTGGTCTGAATCTTGTCATCCCAACATGATGTGGGTTCAGTCTTTCCCCAACATTATCTTATACTGGTACGGGCCTTCAAAATGCCCCAACGCCTCAAATTGTAAGGCTCATTCTTAATGCCTCCTTGGTTTAAATCTTATCTTCTCAACATGATGTGGGTTCAGTCGTGCCCTAACATATACGAATGTTCTTATTCTGGTGTCACTACACAGTAGTGTTGTCAAATAGTTTGAGGGATTTTCTTCATGCTACTTAAGAAGTGATCAACCCTTCTAACACAATGTCTTTCATTTTCATTCGGGCTGAGATATGTGCCCCTTCTGAATGATGAGATAATCTTCTTCTTACTGGGTTACTGACAATGTCACAAAGAAATGTTGCCAGTTCTGTCTTTCATCTATTCTGATCTCTTGGACCTTCTACTTCAAGGTCACGAAATGATTCATGTTATGGCGCCGCTTATTCTTTTTCTCCAATAGAGGCACAATGAGCCTCACCCGCTTCAAGGACCTTTTACATTTGAATTGTCCTGTTTGAAAATGCTTTTCTCTTTCTCTTATTTTAGGGAGTAAAGAATGAAAGAATCTTATAAAACATTGTCCCTTAATTCAGACTCACAATCAAATCAAATCATAAACATGAATTCACAGAATATCAAAAGAATCAATAGCTCTTTAATGTTTTCAGGGTTATAAATCTTTGACAAGTGTCAAAATTGAGGGGTTGGTTTTAGGTTGGCTTCCTATTTTCTAAGGCTTCGACCACCAAAATACCATCTCTTTCTTGATCGTTGTGACCATCACAACATGCCCTTCTTTCTTGGCTTGGTATTTTAATCGGATGCGGACAAAATGACGCAAATAGTATACTCCATTACTAGACTTTCCAGAACACTTCCATTTCAGTTCTCTGAAATCTTCCATTTGTTCAAGCTTCGTAGACTCCTCTAACCAAGGTAGTGCAGAAATATCGATCTAAAAATGAAATTTCTGAGTGCTCGTGTGAAATTGACTATGACAGGTGTTCCTTAACTCCCTTAGTCCATTTTTATCGCAACTCCTTATTTAGATAAACTTGATTTAATTTGCCATTATCGGGCTAGCTGAAATCAGCTTTATTGTAATTTGCCTTTATCAGGCTAGCTGAAGGGTTCATCTCATCACAAAGTCT